AAGCTCCATGACGAGGAGAAGCTCCATGACGAGGAGAAGCTCCATGACGAGGAGAAGCTCCATGACGAGGAGAAGCTCCATGAGGAGGAGAAGCTCCATGACGAGGAGAAGCTCCAGGATTGTCCTGAGTGCGGGAAGAGCTTCAGGAACAGCTCCGACCTCATCACCCACCGGAGGATCCACAGCGGGGAGAAGCCCCAGGAGTGTCCCCAGTGCGGGAAGAGCTTCAGGCGAATCTCCAACCTCATCTCTCACCGGAGGATCCACAGCGGGGAGAAGCCGTACAAGTGTGAGAAATGCGGGAAGAGCTTTCGGCTCGTGTCCCTTCTCTTCAAGCATTTTCGGAGCCACAGGGAGGAGAGGCCTTTCCGCTGCCCCCAGTGCGGGAAGGGATTCAAGCGCAAGTGCACCCTCAGCGTCCACCAGCGCTTCCACGGCGAGGAGAGACCCCACGGGTGCGAGAAATGCGGGAAGAGCTTTCACACCCGCACCGCGCTCCGGCAGCACCTGCAGGTGCACACGGGGGAGAGGCCCCACCGCTGCCCCCGGTGCGGGAAGGGATTCGCTCGGAAATGCTCCCTGGTGAGGCACCGGAGGATCCACAGCGGGGAGAAACCCTACGAGTGTCCCCAGTGCGGGAAGGGATTCGCGCAGAGCTCCAACATGAGCCGGCACCGGCGGAGCCACGAGGGAGGGGAGAGCTCCGTCCCCCGCCGGTGATCCCCGGTGATTCCCGGTGATTCCTGGTGATCCACGGTGATCTGTGGTGGTCCCAGGTGATTCCTGGTGATCCACGGTGATCTGTGGTGGTCCCCTGGTGATCTGTGGTGATCCCAGGTGATCCGTGGTGATCCCAGGTGATTCCTGGTGATCCACAGTGATCCGTGGTGATCCCCGGTGATTCCCGGTGATTCCTGGTGATCCACGGTGATCTGTGGTGATTCCCTGGTGATCTGTGGTGATCCCCGGTGATTCCTGGTGATCCCCGGTGATCTGTGGTGATCCCCTGGTGATCCCAGGTGATTCCCGGTGATTCCTGGTGATCCCCGGTGATCTGTGGTGGTCCCTGGTGATCTGTGGTGATCCCCTGGTGATCCCAGGTGATTCCTGGTGATCCACGGTGATCTGTGGTGATCCCCTGGTGATCCCTGGAGATCCACGGCGATCCCTGGTGATCCGTGGAGATCCGCGGATGAGCCCCGCGGATGATCCCCGGTGAGCCCCGGTGGTTCCTGGTGATTCCCGGTGATCTGTGGTGATCTCCAGTGATCCCTGATGATCCCTGGTGATCCCCGGTGATCTGTGGTGATCCGTGGCGATCCTCAGTGGTTCCTGGTGATCCCCGGTGATCTGTGGTGATTCCCGGTGATCCCTGCCGGGAACTCTCCTGCCCGGGGGCTCCGGTTCCCCAGGGCCTGCGTTTCCTTCCCGCTGCTCTTTGTGCTTCCGAAATCCCCAAAAATAAAGGTTTTGAAGGAAGCCGTGGCTGGGGACGTGGGGGGAGCGTCCGGGGGCTCTGGGGGACGCCGGGGACGAGGTTGGGGAAGGTTCCTGGTGGGATTTGGGGTCGCTCAGGGCTTTGGGGAGCTCCTGGCGGAGGCTCTGGGGCAGCAGCTGCTCAAGGACCCCCTGGCCTGGAAGTGTCCCCATGTCCCCCCTGTCCCAGTTCCGGGTGTCGTTCCCATTTCCAATTCCCATTTCCCGTTCCCATTTCCCATTTCCATTTCCCATTCCCATTCCCCATTCCCAGTTACCATTCCCAGTTCCCGTTCCCAGTTCCCATTCCCAGTTCCCATTCCCAGTTCCCAGTTCCCATTCCCAGTTCCCATTCCCAGTTCCCAGTCCCCATTCCCATTTCCCATTCCCATTTCCCATTCCCAGTTCCCATTCCCATTTCCCATCCCCCATTCCCATTCCCAGTTCCCAGTTCCCAGTTCCCAGTTCCCATTCCCATTTCCCATTCCCATTTCCCATTCCCATTTCCCATCCCCCATTCCCAGTTCCCAGTTCCCATTCCCATTCCCAGTTCCCATCCCCCATTCCCATTCCCAGTTCCCAGTTCCCATTCCCATTCCCATTCCCAGTTCCCATTCCCAGTTCCCATTCCCAGTTCCCATTCCCAGTTCCCATTCCCAGTTCCCATTCCCAGTTCCCATTCCCAGTTCCCATTCCCAGTTCCCATTCCCAGTTCCCATTCCCAGTTCCCATTCCCAGTTCCCATTCCCAGTTCCCATTCCCAGTTCCCATTCCCAGTTCCCATTCCCAGTTCCCATTCCCAGTTCCCATTCCCAGTCCCCATTCCCAGTTCCCTGTTGGGGTGGGGGGGCTCCACCCTGGCGATTCCCCCCCAAATTCCCATCGGGAATGCGGCTCCGGAGGGCGAAACTCCCGGAATTCCGCGAGGAGCAGGAAAGGGGATAGAAAAAACCTCTGGAATTCATTTTTATTTTCCCGTTCATTTTTCCAGAGCCGCGCCTCATCCCGAGGGAGCGGGGGCGGGAATTCCGCATGGATTTGGGGGGAAGGGGTTGGGAATCCCGTGCCTGCTTCCAATTAAATCCCAATTAAATCCCAATTAAACCTCTTCTCCGGCCCCCCGGAACTTCCCGCCCCATCCCGAAAAAATTTTGGGAATTTTTTGGTGTGGGGAGGAGCCTTTCCCAAATCCTCCCAGTTTCCCGAATCCTTCAAAGAATTCCTCGCTGAGGGGAAATAAAATATCCCAAAAATCGGGGAGGGAGAAAAAAATCCCAGAAATGGGGAAAATTCCTCAAAATCGAGGGGGGAAAATTATCAAAAATTTTTTTGGGGGGAAATATCCTCAAAATTGGGGGGGAAAAGTCCTAAAAATGGTGGGGAAAAGTGACAAAAATGAGGGGAAAAAATCCAGGAAATGGGGAGAAAACCCCCCAAAATCGGGGGACAGAAAGTCCCAAAAACGGGGGGGAAAGAATCACAGAAATGAGGAAAAAAATCATAAAAATGAGGGGGAAAAAATGACAAAAATGGGGGGGGAAATGATAAAAATGGGAGAAAAAATTACAAAAATGAGGGGGGAAAAAGACCCAAAAATGGCGGGAAAACATTACAAAAATGGAGGGAAGGAATCACAAAAAATAGGGAGAAAAATCGGCAAAAAGGGGGGAAAATATCCCAAAAATGGGGGAAAAAGATCCTGGAAAAATCCGCAAAAATCGGGGGAAAAAACCTAAAAATGAGGGGGAAAAAAATCCCAAAATGAGAGGGAAAAAAAAAATCCCAAAACTGGGGGAAAAAATCCGAAAAACGAGAAAAAAATCCGCAAAAATCGGGAATAAAAATCCCAAAAAAATCGGGGAAAAAAAATTCCAAAAATTGGGGGAGGGGGAGTTTGTGTCCCCTCCCCAAAAAAGGGGGGGTTTTTTTGGGGGG